TCTTTCTCTCTCTCTCTCTCTCTCTCCCTCCCTCTCTCCCCTCTCCCCCCTCTCTCACTCCCCTCTCTCTCCCCCCCTCTCTCTCTCTCTCCCCTCTCTCTTTCTCCCCTCTCTCTTCCCTCTCCCCTCTCTCCCCTCTCCCCCCTCTTTCCTCTCCCCCTCCCTCTCTCTCTCTCTCTCTCTCTCTCTCTCTTTTACCTCTGACCACTCAGAATCATTAAGGACATGCCCTCCAACTAGCATCACCTACATATAAAAGAAAGATACATGTACATACAGTGTGTATACATGTACATGTGCATGTATAAGAGAGAAATAATAACCTTTAATTCCTTCAATTTCTTGACTATCAAATGGTTCACTGTTTCATGACCTTCGGACCACATCTTCATGAATTTAGTATGTGTCCCCACTATTAACATGTGCATGTACAAATGTGTGTAAGAAAAAAGTTATACTATGTTAAACAAGCATTATACATGTGTATTATCATAAGGAAGTAGCACCATGCATGAATGCACATGTAGTACATGTACATGTGCCGGTCTTACAAACCTAATTGTTTGTGTAGTTGTACAAATTCATCTTTCCAACAGTATACTTTAGCCTTTGAACCTTGGACAGGACAGAACTGACTAGAAACAGAGAGAGAGAGAGAGAGGGAGAGAGAGAAAGAAAGAAGCAAAAAAAATTATGACAATGAATTCTACAATACAATACAAATACATGTACTGTACATTATACACATTGTACATGTACATGTACAGTATATGCAATGTAGAGTATACATGTACATGTACATGTACTGGAGCTAAAACCACACTTGCACACATGTGTACATGCACATGTATTTCACATGCAGTCTGTTTCTCAAGTATCTACTCTACATGTACATGTACATTACATAAAATCATGTGATGATACTACATTCATATTACGTAACACTATACATACATTACATGCACATCTGAGTCCATATCCAAATGACAAACACACAGTGGTCAGAGGCAATACAAAGGAAACTATAGCAACCATCCTTTGGTATAGGAGTGATAAGGTATGAAAAGAAAGAGGGTAGGGAAGGTGTTTCCAAGAGGTTTACTGATACAAAAGGAGACAAGAGAGTTGCTATGCAACCACAATACCATAAGCTGATATAACAATAAACCAAGTAACGCCATTTGGCCTGGAGTGAGGTGATATATGTACATGTACATGTACATCATACATGTACATGTATCCATATTGAGGAAGGAAGGGAGGAGCTTT